GCTGCCTTTTCACCTGATGTTAAGTGATAACCACCTCCCATTGACATTTGCAACACCGGGTTGCAGAAGCGTTGCCACCTTTTATTAAAGTGGAGCCCAGCTACGTCACTCGCCAGACGAAACACAGGAGAGTAACACTTCCACTTCACGTCGGTCTTCTGTGGACTGATGACTGATGCACCATAAGAATAACTTCAGGTAAATTTATCGTTTGACCTACCCTTTTTGAGACCGCTAAGCAGAAAAAAATAATTTTTAATTGGTATATATAATGTAATATTTAATTCAATAATAGTTGTGCAGGAGTTGTTTAAGGAGTATATTATAAATATGAAATATTATACTAAAATTTCTTTTCTTTAAAAACTAGCCTTTGCGTTTCACATTTGAATTTTGGATGTAATTTTTTTATAGGCCATGGTAGCTTAGAATCATATTCAGTCAAGACAGTATCATATTCAAATAGTTTAAACTTTTTCTTGATATATACTTTTCTGGCAGGAATAATTATGGACTGTCGTTATTGCAAATGAATTTAAGTTTAGGTATTAAGTAGGTGGATTTAACTTGACTCGAAAATGTTTTCCATCAATCTCGTTCAGAAATCTGCAATGTATATATTTGACATGGGATTAAAATGTATCGGTCTACAAATTGGAATTCAATTCTACAGTCAGTTATAGTAATCCATCTTGGTAATTGGTTTTGTACATCGTATAATGCGAATCCTTTGATGGATATCACGAAGTCTGCATGCGTAATTTCAAAAATCTTAAAGTTTTGTTGTTGTCAGTTACCACATCTTTAATGGTGGATGGATTAAGAATTATCATTATTAGGGAATGTATCATTGTTTCTGGTATATTTACTAGATAAATCTCATCAAAACGGTTTATAAACGAAGTTAATAGAAATTTAATAGCAAATATTCCTCCTCCAGATGTTTTCCTTCAACAGTGAGTACGTAATTAGCACTTATAATTTAGCACTTAAAATAATTTCATTGGAGCTGGCACCGGGGATTGAACTCAGGTTGATCGAATACATTCAAATATAAGCGAGCGGCAATGAGCTATCACAGCAAGACTTTGAATATAAATTAATTTAAAATTTATGTCGAGGTAAATTTGTTCAAAGGCTTGTACTTAAATTAACATTGTTTATTGTTGCTAAATTACGATGAACTATTTTTATATTTTCCCAGTTTAGGTACATATTTATTTTGCAAGTAAATATTTGTTTAAAATAAAAAAAAAATACATTTCGAAAATGTTTATCTATAAGATATGCATTTTTGAAATGTTATATAATCGACGTCGTCAACTTATATATACTAAAATGTCTATTTTAAGAAACAATAGTGTAAAATAGAAGAACAAATTTAGTCCAAAATTCAACAGTCCTTTGACTTCTTTGACTCCTGAAGCTTTGAGGGTATCGTATCGTTATTACGTTAGGTGGTCGTTAATTTCCCATTAGTAGTTATAATTAACTAAAATTTAGCTATATCAATAGGCAACTGAGCCAAAGATATTTATTAATAATAAATACATACAAGGATACAGGACGTCTTCGCGTGGATCAAGGGGCTAGATCCTGGGAATTTTACATTTAAGGGATTAAGGAATATACATTTAATGAACTAGAAGGTAAAAGAACTAGATTTCAATTATCAACTATTTTTAGAATTAATCATTAGCTATAGGAGCAAACTTTTTATGGCATAGTTAGACAAACGTTAATCATTTCCGCTACAAAATTTATATTAAGATCGGAATCCTGATGGCGTCGATCATCGTATCTTCAGGTCCTTCACGAGAAATAGACATTGGACATCTTTTATTTATATATTTATTTAGTAGGACTTTTTTTTTCGTGTGGAAATCCGTTATGGATACCTGGCCTTCCACATACCGGGTAGCAAGGTGATGTCGGACTCGCACCGACTGAAACCCCACGGTGGTCGCCATCAGCTGTCATGTGGGGTCACGGGATCTTGAATAGCCTCGTCACAGCAACATCACTTCACTACACCCACCCATGTGGTGCAACCACGATAACTTGAACCTACTACAAGCCATCATCGCCCTTAGGTTCTTTTACTGAGGCCCAGTCGCCCGCGATCCTTGAGGTCCCGTTTCCGGTAGAGAAACACAATTTATATATTGAGGACCGTAACGAGGTGTACCCTCGCCTCGATGAACCCGTCTTCGAAGGGGATCTGCCCTCTCTCGATCCCTCACAGCCTCTTTCTTGACCATCACGGTCTCGCAGAAAGAGGTTACGGCCGCCCACGCTGCATCTCCACTCAGCATCGCCGACATGACTGCTGACAAAGAGAGGTTTCGTCCAATATGGGTTACCAGGACATTCCGCTCCGTCTCCCATGCAGGGCGCACCACAAGAGTATGCGTCACGGAGTCCACGTAACTTCACCGTAACGTCACGGCGCGTCCGATTTTACACAGATAATCACCAAAGGATCCGTGCCCAGTGATTATCTGTGTAAGTCTGTAGGTTTCTAGGAGTCTACCTTGCCGCCGCTGCATCCAGGCTTCGAAGACCGGAAGAATGGCGTTTATGAGCGTACTGTTCCTGACTGAGCCGAGTGCGCCAGACCAGGAAAGCGGAGTGCCGTTCCTGCCGCTTGATGGTCTCGAGCGTCTCTTCTGGCTCGCTACGACACTCTGACGGAGGGCGCGAATCCGGTGGTCCATTTCAGCCAGTATGTCGAGAGGGGGAAAACGAGCCAGGACAGTTGCCACCTCAAAGGATATTCTCCTGTACCCTCGTACGATCCGGATAGCTATCCGCCTCTGGACACTTTAGATCTTAGCCCTGCAACGTCGGAGGGCAAGCCTTTTTGACCATACAGGTGCCCCGTATAAGGCTACGGATCGTACAACCCCTGCATAGGCGGCGAAATTCTTCTTTTGGTCCCCCAAGATTAGGTAGTAGTCTGTGCATGGCACCCGCTACCCGCTCGATCCGGGGGACTAGGCGCTCGAAGTGTTCTTCGAAACCCCAGCGACTATGTAGAATTAGGCCCAGGTACTTCATATACCGACCTACCCTGATTACAGACCCACCCACACGGACACATGAGTTGGTTGGTTCTCTTATGGAACCACATCGCCTCGGTCTTATGTGGCGCTACTTCTAGTCCCAAATCGTGAAATCTGGCGACGACAATTTTCACCCCAAGCTCGGCTCTTTGGTCTCCTCAAAGGTGTACTCGCATGCGAATATTAATGTGTCATCCGCGTAACAAACGACGCTCACATTAGTGGGGAGATCGACACGTAGGACAGCATCATATGCCACGTTCCACAGTAAAGGACCGAGGACAGACCCCTGTGGAACTCCGCAGTGAATCTCCCTCCGGATCTTGTGTCCGTCTTTGTCCCTATATAAGATATACCTACCGCGCAAGTAGTCCTCGATAATGCCTTGCAGATAAGGGGGCACTTGATGGTAAGATAGCCCCTCCATGATGGCATTCCAGGGTAGAGAGTTAAAGGCATTGACAATGTCTAGAGTTATCGCCAATGCCACGCCACCCTGGAAACCTGCCTGAGCCGACAGGGAGCGGACGCGCATGATCGCGTCTATCGTAGAACGCTCCTGCCTGTAACCAAACTGACTTTCTGACAGATCGGGACCGACACGCGATAGATGCCTATTGAGACGAGCAGCGAGAATTCTCTCAAACAATTTGCCAATCTCGTCCAACAGGCATATGGGACGGTAAGCAGAGGGAGATTCTGCAGACCTGCCTTCCTTCTTCAAGAGGACCAATCTTGACTCTTTCCAGACTGTAGGGAACTTGGAACTACGGGGGCAACTAGTGCTAGTCTCCCAGTGCACTTAGGCTCAGCACCCAAACCCGACCTGGTATTCCATCTGGTCCTGGCGCATTGTTCCTAGCTCTTAAGCATCGATCTGTGTTTAGTCCCTCCAAGAGCTCAGCCCATGCTCGAGTCTTGGAATTTGCGATTGCGAGATGCAATGCCTTCGTATCCGTTCGGTAAGCTCCGCTCGTAAGGACGGACGAACGTGCTCACCTTCTTTTTCGGGCTCTGGTGTATTGGCGTCTGCTCCGCAGACAGACAGAGCGAAGTCGCGATATTTCCGCCGATCACCAATACACCGCCCTACGCTTGGGGCTACTGGCCCGTGGCATTGGCATATCGCATAGTTGAGCCATTGTTCCCCGAAACCAGGTTGCTTCTCTTTCCGGGTCGGACGGTCGGACATTGGCGGCAGTTTCGAGCAGGTTCCGATTTAGCCGCTTGAGGCACCAACGACGCGGTGAGCTGTTATCATGGCAACTAGACATAAAATTTGGGCGGCGGGGTGCGATGTCAAAAATAATGTGGCGATGGTCAGATAGCGTGACTCCGTGATCTCCCCTGCAACCCACCATCCCGATACCAATAGTGTCGCAGAGGGAGACGCCCATGTTAGGTCAACAATTGACGCCCCCTGCTACCGCACACAAGTACTGACGGATCCCCGATTCAGCAGTCGAAGGTCCAGTCCAGCCGCCCATTCTTTTATAGCCTCCCCTCTCGAATTGTTTCTGGGGTTGCCCCACTCCCTAGCGTGGCCATTAAAGTCTCCGAGAACAATTAACGGGTAAGGCGGGCAACTGCGAACACAGTCCGCTACCTCTTCCAGGTACAACTTTTAGTCGGTGAGTAACTCTTTAGGAGGACATTGCAACCAACGATGACCAGGTTGCCCCAGTGCACTGCAACAAATCCCCGCCCCCTTTTCAATAGGGTGCAGGGTGGGGCATCCATCCTTCCTTCCCAGATAGATAGCTACGGAGCCCGAGTCATTGCCGAACCAGCGGGGATCATCAGGCACAACGTAGGGTTCCGCTATTATTGCTGGGCAACCCTCCACTCCGTAATTGTCTGCATAAGCAATTATTGAACATTACGGCAGTGGTTAAGGTTACCCTGGAGGACTTTTAATAGGTTCGTGTTGTTTTAAATGTCAGTGACCTCCATCACCGAGATTTCACCCGGTACTGCGGCTGTAGTCGCTGTAGTCGCCATGTTGTTGGAAACGTGCGGAACGGTCTCCCCACGTATACCTTTTTTACTCTTCGATTTCAGCGGCGGGGCGCATTTCCTACCCAATCGGTGCCCAGAGGGACGTCCTAAGCAGAGCAGAGTGGACATTTTAGGACCGAAGCGGAACATTTCTTCACCGTATGGCCAGACTCGCTACAGGCATAGGCTTCCAACATGTCCTTTCTCAAGGCACCAGAATTTTATGACCTAAATGTCCGTATTTGGGTGTTGTATAAGGTTTATATAAGATAAAATAGGTAAACATGAAATTCTAATAGACAAATAATATTTTATTGTATAAGTTATTAATTAAATTTCATAACTATGTTTAATTGAAAATTAACCAATATATTTGAAAGACATATGACATTTTACGTTTGGTGCATTAATCAAAGATTTTCTTGTAATCCTTTACCCTTGTTATCCAATAAATTCATATAACTTACGCCTCACTACTAAAGTTTACATGATTTTCTCAAGCGAATCAACACGACAAATTGCTAGAGAGAGGCCCCAAGGTATCGTAAAGATTCCCAGCTTAGTGTCTAGAATGGCGGAGGCTTTATCTTAAGTGTGGACAAGCTTAAGGGATTTCTGATTTTATTTCGATACCAGATATGTTACTTCTTAATTCTAAACGTATTGCTAATCTATTGTTTATTCCTAAAATATTAGGTCTTGTTTCGAACAATAGCTTTAAAAATTTCTATTTCGATTTATTATTTTGGGCTCAATTCTGCTTAACAGTTAAAATTGTCAGGTACACTCGTTCATATTTTTTGACTTTACAACAAAAATAGTTACATATCGAAAACAACGTTTATGTACCGCTATTATTAGTACTAGTAGAAGTGAAAAATAGTGTACGATGACTTGCGTTGCCGCGACGAAGGACTTATTGCGTTACGAGGAAAAGGGTAATTTTATAATTAGATGATATTCACTTTCTATGTGTTACAAAATAACGACGTTACACGAAGACAGGAGCGCTGAAGTAAAGATGTCTATTCCATCTAGCATTTCAGTAAGTTTTGAAATATTGATTTCTTTTTAGGGTTCCATACCGAAAAGGTAAAACGGCACCCTATTACTGAGACTTTGCTGTACGTCTGTCAGCAGGCTGTATCTTATGAACCGTGATAGTTAGACATTTAAAATTTTTATAGATGATGTATTTCTGTCGTCGCTATAACACCAGAATAAAAATATTCAAGTGGGGCTCCCATACCATAGACATGGTTTTTTGACGTTTTTATAGATAATGGTAGGGGCACCCTTCGTGCGCGAGTCCAACTTGAAAATTATTTAACTAACCAGTCATTTTTGTACATGCGATGCGCTATATTAGTTCAACTTCTGGTTGCGCGTGTTAAAACTGTAGAACCAACCAGAATATAAAAATCTATCAAAATAATGTAATTGGAAATTATAATTATAATAAAATAGATAAATGAAAACCAATTAAAGAGTAAACTGTACGTCGGTGAAGTATATGGGAATTTTGGTAGGCGACGATCGAGATAAACATTGTTCACAGTTCACACATGTTGATTCATAATATGGAGAGTTCAATGTAAAACTGACGCATAATGAATGTGCATGTAAGTGAAAATTTAAAAAGAGATGCAAGTCTGTCTACCAATCCAGCTCATATATATCATATGTATACAAATCTTTAAAAAAATATTGTGTACGTACCTATGAAATTGCCGTTTTGTACGAAATAAGTTAAAGTTTTTTTTTCAAACCTTTTATTTCTTTATGTTTGCCAACGCAGTGGTAGTTTATTGATGCCCTTAGCGTAAAAATCACCTCGATGGGAACTTCTTCAGTTAAAACTACACTCTTATGCTGTAACTACGTAACATTTTAAACTAGGGCTCACTCTTTTAAAAGTTGGCAAAGCATTTTGCAATAACACAGGACGTGATGTCAATGTTGTAAAGATATTAATATCTTTAGTTCCGACTACCGTATTAAGCAGAGTTATAGTCAGGCAGCGGTTTAAATTTCTCGAGACAGGTCTAATTTATCTGATGTAATAGACTAGGCATATGTATCGATACACATTGAAAAGCTTATACTTTTTATCTACATATCTGTCATAGGGAGTAAATATTAATAAACCCTTCTAAAGTATTTGGTTTTTATAAAAAAAGGGATGAAATAATAAATTAGTAGAAAGGTTCTATTACTAGCTCGATTGTAAAGTGATGAGCCAAGCAGCTGACAGACCTCTATTATAATTTTAAGCTTTCAAAAGTGAACGAGACTTGATAATAAATAATTTTGATATTAAATGCTCAGTGCTATCAAATATTACAGCAACGACATTCCATAATTAGTAAAATGGGGCCATGATGTCTTATTTTAAATTTTCGAAACTCTCCAACTATACAAAGTTAGAAAATAGAATAGTTAAGACAAAGAGGACTAAAACTTATTAGTCTTAATGTAAAATATAAATGAAGTACTTTATTTCAAAAGAAAGATGAAAAAATATATGAAGATATAACTCGTTCAAAGTAAAATGCAATGCAGTGTAAACAATTGTATATAATTAAACCCACATATCGTTACAAATATAAATTATTGCCATTTTAATTTTAGTAACAGCCTTAAAGTCTTAGTTTATCTTAACTTGATATCAAGTTCTAGACTTAAATCACTTCATCATATAAACAAGTTTATATTACTAGTGATAGTAATATTAAAACTATAACTATAGTTACTGTAAATTTAGTCATTACAAGTTAATTTTATGGTTCTGTCGATAGCTAGCTTTCATTTAATTCAACGTTTTTAATTCAGTATTATAGAAACATAACTGCGACATTTATGGTGGCTTCGCAGAACTTCGTAAATTGAGATTAAAACATTTAACGGGCTGTAAAGAGAGTAACTTTGATGATAACCTGTAGAAGCCCAGAGAATGCTATTAATTAAATTCAGATGGAGCTACCAACAAAGAATGGGCTATGACTTTATAGATATCCATAAAACTTCTTATTTAAAGCCTCTGTTATAGCAATATAATATCAAAATTTATGCGGCCCAAGCACTGATGGCTGGTTGTAAAGTACTGTAATTCTTTATTTATTGTTGAAGTACTACTAGAAAGTGCAGCCCGTATATTCGTAAGTTTCTTTCCTCAATTTTATAGTAGGCACGACAAGCGTTCAATGTATTATCGGTATAAGGATAATAAATCGATTTATCGTCCCCGAATTCTATATATATATAAACGAGAATTGGTAGTGTAAAGGTATAAGATAGAAAAATCAGAAAATTCCGAATGAAATTTATATTTCAACGTAGTTCCCCATCACCTTGATACACGTACTTGAGCAGGAAAAAAAGCTTTTAAATATAAAATGTTCAATTTCCGCGTTCAATTTTTCATCGTCGAAAAAAATGCTTACCTCGAAGATCTTTCTTTAGGTTGGGGAACAGAAACTAATCGCTAAGGACTAAGTCCCGGCTGTAGTGTGGATGATCCCCTGCGATCGAGTTCCCGCCTTGCTGTAGCTGGGGTCATGACTGGGGAGGACTTCACCGTTGATGCAGCGGTGGTGGAGCTTAGGGGTTTCCTTAACTTCTGCGGTCGAGATGTGCTGAGCGATGGATCTATGGATCAGGTCCTCCGTTGGGGGCTGAGATTGTTGGCCTGGCTGCTATGGCCAGCGAACTCGGGGGAATTCATTGGCCGAGTCCCGTCCTTACCCCCACGATGGCGGGTGTGCGTAGGCATTTGCCCTACGTTAACAAAAAAAGAGGAGGGATGTCTTCAAATCCATAATCTTGCACAGCGCGCCTTTTGTGAATCGGTGCGTTGTCGCGAAGAAGAAAGACACTCGCGGTCGATTTTCCACGTCGTTTTCTTTTATTGCATTCTTTAAATTATGTAGCGTGTTTGAGTAAGAGGCGGCAGTAAAACTTTCATCTTTTTTCTGTGTAACAATCAGTAAGCTTTCCTTAGAATTCCAAAAGAACTATGGCCTACGGGTTGATATAGTGACTTTAAATTTCTTTGTCTGCTGCATGACTCTTGATTACTTTCAGGATCATAGTAATGGACCCACGTTTTATCACCGATAACAATTCAAAGAATCAAACACCTAAAAGAATCAAGTTACTAAATAAACACAACGTAAATGAGGTCCTACCGAATATGACGATCACAATAATATTTCATACGGCTAATTATTACCTTTAGAAAGATCCTATAGAAAGATCAATAAAAATATCCTGGTCACGTAATGATGTTATATGATTTATTCATATAACGGGGCAGAAATATATATAAGTTTAATTATATATATGCATAAAGGGGGGCTACAGTTACAATGTCATGTATGTAAACATATGTAATCCCCATTAAGACTCGATAAACTACGCGAATATTTGGGATTTTTGCCAATTATCGAAAGATTTGCAAATGTTCTTATTAGTTAGTTGTAGTAATAGTAGTAATACAATAACAAATAGATTACACATATTTAACAATCCTATTTAAAAAATAAAATAATTAAGTGTCGTTACGAAAGTTCACTTTATGAGGAAGAAATATAAAAATATCCACTGCGTCATTTGAATTTTTAATTTAGATAAGTTTTGGACACATATCCGACAAGAAAGGATAATGCCAGAAATTGTATGCCCCCAGCTGGGCAAAGGCCTTCTCTGTACAGAGGGTATCAGGGCATAGTCCACCACGCGGCCCCACTGCGGATTGGCGGACTTCACATATTTTCGAAAAATTTTTTTGCTATTATTTCGAAAATATGCATGTTTCCTCACGATGTTTTCCTTCACCGCGGGACTCGTGTTAAGTCAGCACTTAAAATTAACAATTTCATTGGTGCCGGCACCAGGGATCGAACTCAGGTTGCTGGAGTATATTGAAATAAAGGCGAGCGCCCGGACACTGAGCTATCACGTTACGACATAGGTATGGTTTTGGATCTTATTTACACTGCATGCATTTTTAAATATTTGAAATCTATTTGAAAAAAAAAAAAATGGATGTGGCTGTGTTGTGTGTTGTATGTGAATACGTGTATATGACGGATAATATATTCAATATAAAAAATAAAATACGGTGGCGCACTGTAAGCGATAAGTCATAG